GCAAAGATTAGTTTTAATAAGAAATACCTTCAATTGAGAATGGCCATCGATTACCATATCAGACGTGAAATGTTTAAAATAAGGAAAAAGCTCCATTATGATGTTTTGCATGACGTATGTGCAATGCTTGAACATTTATAGATAAACCTTAGAAGAAGCTGCCAAAAAATCTGTTAAGCTAATAAAGTTCCTTGCATATGTAATGCAGCATTGCGCTTCGGCAGTCACTTCGATGACCATCATGCTTTTGCCTCGTGACCTGGTCTTCTGGACAAGCCATAGCTCTACCTCTGCTCCTTACGTCTTAACATGGGCAATATGCCATGCCTAATGTATTCTTATATCCAACGGGAAATCATGGAAGGCCAAACTAGCTGCACTGCTTTGGTTAATTGACTAGCCCTGTTGCTGGAGTTTAGTGTGGTTCTCATCTTATTGTGACCTGCCGGACTGGTACTTGGGCCGGGCCAAATTTTGACTTCATTCTCCTTCTCACCTAGTTGAATGTGGACATAATGATCCTACTACACGCCTCCTTCTACCTAATGGGATGTTTCTGCGCTTTTTAAATTTGTGCATGAATGTGGTATCGTGGTCCAGTCAAAGATTCTTATCCATTCTTGATTTGCGTCAAAATTGAACAAAAACCAAATAGATCAAGAGATCTTGATGTTGTGTGCTGTAGTATCAAGTTCGCTCACCCAGAGTTGTAATTGTGGTTTCATATGTTCATTCGTAGACTCTGTTGATCGGGCTTGTCTGCATGCCCTCCAAGTACCATAACATCGTTTGCTTTTTGACTACTTACGTTAGGTCCATGGAACCTTTCCTGCGATTGTAACTTAGCTTAGTTATTCAGGTGCACATTTGAGGTAGGTGATTTAGTTTAGGTAAAGTTTTGTTTTGGCTTAAGAAGATAGCTCCTGGCTCACAGCAGAATTCGACTTTTCTGTCAATACCATTGCATTATAAATGCAAATTTTAATTCGTGTTGCCAAAAAAGTAAGCAAAGATGTGTGAAAATCTAGCAATGGTTGGCATTAAATAGCTTGCAAAGGAGGTGCAAATGCTGTTGGATGGCATGTTTGACATAGATCAATTTTTTGTGAATAGAAGCATAAACGGCACTACCTATACTCAAGGAGCCACTGCAAAGGAACCAAAAACTTATTCGCTAAGCCTATATAATTAAAAGGGTCCTGGTTTAGAAATCTGCGTGTTCAAGGCACGTTTAAATGTTAAGCAAGTATAGCTTGTAGGGTGCAGTTACTATCAATATGCTTTGTTTATGTGATCACATGAAGTTTGGTGGTCACTTTAGGATTTGTCTGGCCCTTGTACACGTGGGTTGTTCTTCGGGCCATGCTCAGGCCCAATTTTCCTGTCGTCTCCCAAATATATGAATTCAGCTGCACTTACTGACTTCTTATACCGATCAGAAAGTCTCGAGACGCTACATTGGTGGCAGCGGAAAGCGAACCCGACATTTTTTAAACGACTTAGTCGAGGTGGGGTGTCTCTCTGCAGCTTGATCTCCGAGGGTCGCTTGTTAAAAGCGGTATAGTGTCCAGGAAGATCTATTGCCCAACAGACAACCCTGCCTTACTGGCGCCCTACGTTTGTGTGGCCAAACTTTGCCAATTCATAGACTGATTTTCGGAAAAGAACAATACGAACAAGTCGACGAGCCATGGTTATATCGGATGATGCAATGGTTCTGAGTCCACAAATCGCACAGGATCTGCAGATGTGCGCCGCTTTTCTCGGTATTGATGCTCTGGTTGCCGATGATGAGGACGGTGATCTGTTGGACCCCAAAATCGGGTTACCTTGTTCGGAAAGTCGAAACCCTCATTTCCCCGGCAAGATGCTTATAATCCAACCATCAGACATGGCTGCAAAAGAATTCTACATCTTGGTGGAGAAATCCAGGATTAATGAGCGCACTTTTGCGTTGTTCACCGTCAGTCATGAGCTATACATACGTAGAAGGAAGTCGGACATTAATGAAGTGCAACAGGTGAAGATACGGGCGAAAACGGGATGTGAATTGAAGGAATTGCATTAATCTCGATGAATCCTTCACATCGAAAGGATATAGACGAACGTCTGTATTTGCCTTCACTTTATTAACGTGTTCCACAGACAAGCTATTAACAACTAAATCGACACCGCCATGAACTATTTGGAAAAGTTTTATGTCGGAATCTCCCCTACAAAATCAT